AATAAAGGGCTCCAGAATTATGGTAATCAGAACACAGAAAATCGAAGAGATGATCCCCTGATTGCCCATAGGCCATCCAAGGGGAAGGGGCAAGATAAGCAATAAAAAGGAGCCTCATCATCGTCCTGATTACCGCCCCCAAATCTGACGAAGAAACCATCCAGTGATAGAGCGAATGCCAATCAATTTTAGCAACCTAGAAGAAATAAATGGCACGAAACTGAATGCCCAAAAAGTGATCCTTCTCCAAGTCATTCCCATAAACAACTCCAGTAACATCACATCCAGAAAATACCAACAGATTCCACATAAACAGCTCCCAGAAAAAATATCTGAATTAACCCAGCAGAAAACAAAATCCACAAGGTAGAGACAACTACAAATTCTCCAATAATTGACATGAATTTTTCCAGGAAAGCATTTTATCAAAGATGTTCCGCTTAATATTAAGCAATAAAGTCGTATGACAGGTATAAGAATTACCAAATCTCCTTGCATTACGTTCATTCCAAATGTGATAAAGAGCACATGCTATCACAATTTTGTAAAAATTTTTAACAACAGCTTTCCCTTTAAATTCAGAGCTAACCCAGTCCAACACTTGGAGGAGATTAGGTCTTAAAAGAAAGGTCTTAATTCCCGGAATAAGATCATATATCAACCCAAATGTGTATTGACATTCAAAAAAACAAATGGTTAACATTTTCTTTATGCTAGAAGCATAAACTGCACATTTCCGGATGCAACAAATGTATAGACTATAGTATGATTCTATTATATAATTATAAAATATCTGATGAGCCGCGTGCGTACGTGGATGTTCAGCTCGCACGTGCGACACAGTCGCATGCGGGACGGTGGATGCGGTCGTTTCGTTTTGTCGTTTTGTTCGCCATCTTCTGCCTGCCGTGAAGATTCGCAGCAGTTAAAACGAGATCTTCACCGCCAAATTTTCGAATTTTTAAAATATTTCTTAATTCAGAGAGTAATTATAAATTACTATAATTGTGAGAAAATAAAAATGGATTAAATTACGAAAAAGGACGGGCAGTGTGGGTAATTTTGGGGCAGCGGGCAGGGGTAGGCAGGGCTGTTTCCCTGCCACCTGCAAAACAGTAGCCAGTTAGAGTCAAAGAAGTAGGCATCATCATGGCCCCACCAGTATGACTACATTAGGACTGATAATAAATAAATTTTCTCAGTATTAGGACAGTTGCATTAAATATTTTTACCTTAATTAGTAAAAAAAATTAAATATTTATTAATATATATACATAATATAAATTTAATTATGAATATTTACATAAATTTTTTTTCTGATATATCAATAATTTTTTTTAGAATTTATTGCTAAAATTTTATTATGATTTTATGTTATGATAAAGATTATATTTGTTATGAATTAGAGTAATTTAGCTTAAATTCTGAGAATGAGTTTTCTATGATAATCAATTGGGGTTTTTATGATAATTAAATATTATTTTTTATTATTCATAAAATATATCTATTTCTTTTTCTAAATTCAACTCTTATTGAATTCTCTCAATAATGATAAAGACTCATTTCTGAATTTCCTTCGTCCTTAAAAGTAAAATAATAATATTTTAATTATCATTATTGTAATTAATATGGTGGAAGTTTTCATTCAACATCGTTATTGATATATCATCAACAAATTTTTTTGATCGGACACGAATCTTGAGACAAAAATTAAGTTGAAAACTTCAAAAATTAGATTCAGGATCATGTGAATTTCGATTTCAGCAAACTTATAGTCGAACTGATCGTCTCAGAAATAGGAACCCAACGACACCAAATTCAACTCAATCAGAGCCCAAATGAGTCCAAATCAAGAACCCGAATCGTTGTTGGAAGGTTCGAACTACAATTTAGATTACTAAACGGTTTCCAAACATCACATGCTTATAGTATAATCGAGCGACTCGACGAGACGAATTTAACTAGCCCAAGATCCCTAAATTCCAATATCATTAAGACTTTCAAATGTCTGACAAATTGTCCTCGATCAAGGGATTCAATAACGACTATCCATTCGAACAACTCCACCTTTGCACTAGATCCTCCTCATATTTACGGGTCATGACATTCTAAAAAAACTATAAATAGCCCCTCATTTTCTCTTGAGAAGGGACCTAAGCAAAAAGATAAGAAGAGAATGAAGAAGAGAATATTAGGAGGGCAAAAACTCCTCGACCACCATCCCCGGAATTAATCTGCGCAACCTAAGAACGATGCCGGAATTCTGCCCGACTTCCAAGTGATGCCAGAATTCTATCTGACTTCCAAGTGACTCTAGAATTTCGCCCGACTTTTAAGTGACACTAGAATTTCGCCCCGACTTTCCAGTGACGTCGGAACTTTATTTGATCTCCAAGTAACGACGGAGTTTTGCCTGAATACCATCTAACGCCGGAGTTCTCCCCTGCTGCCGATTGAATTCGAACTTCTACCCAACGATGGACTCCCGCTAGTCGCCAGATTTCTACCTGACACTGGACTTCTGCCCGTTGTTGGATTTTTGCCATATAGTTATCCAATGTGGGATTTCTATCCATAGCTGAATTTTTACCTGACATCGTTCTTCTGATCTCCATTGTCCAACAACGGTCCTTCTGACTTACGTCACCCACCTACTACAGTCATTCCGACCTCCGTCGTCCACCTACTACAGTCCTTCCGACTTATATCGCTCACCGACTATAATCCTTCTGACCTCCGTCGTCCGCCGACTACGGTCCTTCCGTCGACTACAGTTCTTCTGATCTCCGTCGTCAAAAAATGGTCCTTCCGAATACGTCGCCCACCGACTACAGTCCTTCCGACTTCCGGCGTCCACCGACTTACGTCGCCCGGCAACTATAGTCCTTCCGACCTCCGTCGCCCGGCGACTACGATTCTTCCGACTTACATCGCCCATCGACTACAGTCCTTCTGACCTCTGTTGCAGCCGACTACGATCCTTATGACCTCCGTTGCCGTCGACTACGGTCCTTCTGACTTACGTCGCCCACAAATTACAGTACTTCTAACCTCTGTCCCGCGCCGACTGCAGTCTCTTCTGACTTACGTCGCCTACGGACTACAGCCCGTCTGACCAAATGAACATGTCAAAAATTTTAATACTAAAAAATTATTTTAAAAAGTAATGAGAAAATAATTCTAAACTAAGGCTTAATTTATAATGACTTTCTTACTGCTTCTTAATATAACTTTTTAATAAAAAAAAATTTGTATTAAAATTATTTTAAGAGGAAATAAAAAGTCATCACAAATGAAGTCTTTATTTAAGATGACATTTTCATTATTTTTTAGAGCAGTTTTTTAGTACAAAATTTTATATTCAAGAAATTTATTAACTATAAAACTGTTTTAAAAAATATTAAAAAAATTATTCCAAATGAATCATAGCCTATGCTTTAGACTTCATTTAGAATAAAATGTTTACTACTTTTTAAAATAACTAATAAATTTTTTTATATATAAAAATATTTTAAGAATTAATAAAAAATCATTCAAAACAAAAACTAGATATATCTCTCTGTACAAACTTTAATCATAAAAGAGATAACTCAATGTAATATTTAATTTAAAGGAGTACAGAAACCCTAAAACCTTAACAGGAAGGTAACCCCACGTGGAACATTGAAGAATTAAAAATATTATTACTCACCTGTAATAATTTCGAAGAGCACGTCTTATGTACTGACTTCTTAAATTCATTGTATGAAGATATTTTTTTTTTCTTAAATCAAATAATGATAAAAATTACTTAATTTGTACTAAAGGTTTAGAATTCAAGAAATTATATAAAATTATTTTTTATCTTATTTTATATAATTAATAATTTAAAATTTATAATAAAGAATTAAATTATTAACTATACTAGAATTTATATATCTTAAAAATAGAATTGTTGTCTGCTATAATATACGCGGCGATAGAGTTTCAATTATACGTCATAGCTTCGCACAAATATCCACCTCACACACAGAGAAACAATATTTTTTACATGGAAAACCCTTAAAAGGGGAAAAACCACGGGGCCTGGCCCAGTCGAAAATGATTCCACTAGGATTTGAATCGGTTACAACGGGCTAATTCGCCTCCGAGGGCGATCTGATTAGAAGTACTAATTGTACAATAGAAATTCGGGTGTAAGGTGATGATCTGGCAGAACTTCGGGCCTCACATTCGTCAAGAATATTTCATGCTAATTATTAATTAACCTAGGTTTTTTTATTAATTAGAGGATTTTTTATTTGATTGATTATAGTAGTATATATATCTTATACTATATGATTATTTACGTATAAGAAGCTTCTAATGCAATATTTTTTTCTAATAAAATCTAATCTTTTCAAATTTTTATTTATAGATTTGGGTTGTAGCTTAAAATAATTAATTAGCTACTTATAGATGGAATTATTTACATGTATGATTATATATGAAATAAATAATAATAATAATTATATCAGTTAATCAAAATTTTCAATTAGAAGAAGAAGTCGTCTGCCAATCTTTGAAGAAGTTGCAAGCTCACAATTTGATAGTTTAGTAGCCAATTCATTATTTGCTTTTAATAGTTTTTTTCGTTATTTATATTTTGATATAACTGAGAAATTAAATTATTATATAAATAAATAATATGTAAATATGAAAAAAGTATATGATTTATATTTAAATCCCCTAAAAAATTTTGAAATAATATGGAATATATAATAAAGTTTTTATTTTAAAATTGTTATTTTTCTTTTGATTTTTATAGAAATTGTCCATCGAAGCAAACGGTGCCAAGGGACACGGGGAGTTACTGTTGGCTTTGTATAGGAGGAGAGGGACATATAAAAGAATGGAGAACTTCCAAATCCCAAACCCACACGAGCGGTTCACTTTTGAAACTGCATGAGATTCCGAAACAATCAAATAAAGCGAGATATAAGAGTTGCAGAGGAGGAAGAAGAAGAAGAAGATAGAGAATATCAAAATCAAATTTTTCGGTGGAATTATTATCAAAATACACACAGGGGGCTGTTCATCTGTTCTTCTTCTGTTTTCCGAGACTCGATCGTTTTGTTCTGTCACTCTGATCAGAAGCTCGTCTTCTTTCTGCTCTGAATCTTCTCTCGAAGATCAAAGCAATCCAGGGGGTATAGAAAAAAAAATCAAAATTTTTAACCTTTGCTGGTGTCTTCTTATGTGATAGTTTTCTGAGAAGTTATAATATGGTGCAAGTTCCATCCTTTCTGCGATGGTTCGAGGTTTGAGTAAGTGTTGCCTCCTTTTCCCCCTGAAAATTAGGATCCACATCCATGGAGTTTTCTCCTTCATCGCGTCCTCCTCTGTTCCACACAGTAGAGAGAGAGGGGAGAAGAAATGAAGCAGTTTTGATATTGGAGGAGCAAGGAGCGAAGCAAAGTTCGGATTTTGAAGGATTGAGTGAGATGAGTGGCCGGATTGAGGAGCACGAAGGAGCGGAACTAGAGAGCAGGCACTCCAAACTCTGTGCAAGAGGACACTGGAGACCAGCTGAGGACGCTAAACTTAAAGATCTTGTTGCTCAATATGGCCCCCAAAACTGGAATCTCATCGCTGAGAAACTTGAAGGAAGATCAGGCACTCTTCCTACAAACATTATAAAAAAAAATCCATTTTTTTATGATTTTATCTCACTCTGTTCATTAAACTTTGGTTTTTGATAAACATTTGAACAGGGAAGAGTTGCAGACTGCGATGGTTCAACCAGTTGGATCCCAGGATTAACAAGAAGGCATTCACCGAGGATGAAGAAGAAAGACTTCTTTCTGCTCACAGACTATATGGAAACAAATGGGCTCTTATATCCAGGCTTTTCCCCGGTAGAACTGATAACGCTGTGAAGAATCATTGGCATGTTATCATGGCAAGAAGGCAAAGAGAACAGTCCAGCGTTTACAGAAGAAGAAAGACATTTTCTTCATCTAAGGTATTCGATAAAAGAATGGAGGTGAAATGCAGCAACCATGCGTGCAGTGCAGAGTCCACCATTTCTAGCAATAGAGACGAACCCTTGTGTATCAGTAGAGGTTTTACTGCTCATGGATTCCTAACCAGATACAACTTTCCACATCTGCATCAGCAAATTGATTATCTCGTTGGTAAGCTTCTTTTCTGAGGCTAATGCTCCATTTTTTTTTTCACTATTTAAGTTTTTCCTAGTTCAATCAGTAGTTCTAAAACTTCAAAATCATTAATTTTGAACTTACAGTAAATGAATGGCATTTCCTTACATTGGTTACATATTTCGATATTCTCACCGATTATTATCATTTTAGAGCCAGATGGGAAGTTGGTGACTAGAAGAAAGGAAGGTTATGAGCGCCTGTTTGATTCTTCCATTGATTTACAGCAAGCTTCCCCCCTGATTGTAGTACCAGGGATTCATCACTATGGATTCTCTGATTCAAATTCCGAGGCCTCTGCAACTGACTCAGTGATCAACAATGGCTTCATGCCAGAGGATGCTGAACTTGAGGACGAGAAGATTAGCTTGCCTTTCATTGATTTTCTTGGTGTTGGAGATACGTAGAATCTCTCTGGATTGATAATATATAGGATAATTTCAGATTTTGGAGAAGGAGAAGATGAAATATTTTTGATGTTAGTCAAATGCTGCACTTTTTTACTCTAGTTCTTCATTCTTCTGTTCTATAGACTCTTTTCTCCTGAGGATATTATCGATGTTCTTGGACTCTCTTTACTTCACTGTCACTGTAATGAGATTTTTCTGTTTCTTTTACTGATTATTTCTTAGCTTCCCCACCACCGATCTTTGCGCTGTATTCCTTAACCAGGTTACAGAAATTTGCGTTTTTCTGCAACAGGAATCAAACAGTGAGACTTAATTTTCCAACTTTCAGATTTTGCAACTTTTCACTGTATTTTATAGCGTATATGTACTGCAGATATACAGTTAGAAATGTTGAATAATCAAGTTGAATTTATTTGAAGACTGGCATTGTTTGCTATTTGATGCTATATTTGTGTTACATCAAAATCATAGCATTCTTACATTATAAGATGAAAAGCTGCCTCAAGAGGAGTTATTATTCTGTGCCGGGACGCATCTCTATATTCGGAGGTGAATTAGATGCAGTCATGTAAGCAATATTGAAGGCCGCGGTATTAGTATTAGCACCGAGCGAAGGGATGATGCGGTATATTCTGATTGGTTGGTCGGAGACGAGAGTTCGGCGTTAGCATAGAATGGTTGATAAGAGTTTTTCAAAGCTATTTTTTCGGTATAAATCAGAATTATTCTTTGTAATTTCAAGCTGGTGGCTTGTATTTTGAAGACTATTAGTCTTTGTTTGGGATAATTTTTTTACTTTGTAAAGTTTTTTTAATAGAGAAAGTGATTTTTTTAAGACGCTGGACAAAGCATTTTTTAGTACAATTGCTTTTTTGAAATTAAATGAAAAAGTTGTGGCTAAGTAAAAATTTGTGATTGAGGTTTGAAAAGCTTAATTTAAGTAGACATGCAAAGCTTCCTTTCAGAGTCCAAAGTAATGATAAAAAATTGTAAATTTTATAGTTATTTATCTAGAAAATGATAATAAATTAATAACTTACCTCATTGCTCAGCTTTCTGATGAGCAGTCACAAACATCTCTCTTTGATATCAAAAATTAAGATCAGAATAAGTTATTGAATCACTTTCTCCATTGCTGAGCTTTATCATGAGCAAATCTCAAAAGCTTCATGTCTTGTTGATATCAAAAGATAATGCATAACAGAACCAGTAAGCATTTCTCAGCTTTTAGACAGTTAGATTTTAAGAAAAATCTGTCATTTTCTTATTGAAATAGGAGGATATTAAAAAAATCTGTCTTTTTTATATCAGAATGACCATACCAAGACAGCACAAGCAGCTATCAATAACTTTTCAGCGGCATCTAACAGATTTCTGTTAATGGCCAAAGTATCGACCACTCTAAAACAGCTGTAGCTCTCTTCTCTAAGAACTGCTACACTAAACTTCTGTACTCTCTAGTCCTTAAAAGCATAACCAGACCTTTCTCACCAAGTGATTATTTCTTAATTACACTTCTAATTAATGATCATTACAGCGTGACTAAATTAGTTCCTTCTCCTCCTTCCTTTGTGGCACAAAATTCTAAATAAGTCATGATTCCATCAGAGCTCTAAAGAGCCTAAATATGGTAAGAGAAAAGGATGATAGAGGGCAAGTAAAGTTCTCTTGTTTTGTTCTCTTCCCTCTTTTTGTGTCTAGCTTGTGAAGAAAATGAGATGCAGTGGTCTTGCTTCTTTAGATTGCCATTCTTGAATAAAGAGACGGAGAAAGGAAGACGATGCAGAGAACGATAGAAAATAAAGAAGTATTATTATTGTTCAATTCAGTACAGAGGACGCTTCTATATATAGACTCTATGCCTAAGGCTTTAATAAGCTGAAGCCAATTACAAACCGACACCTCATTATATTTTATTAATACATTTAGACTTTTCTACTAATAGCCCCCCACAAACTGAGGGGTTGTTGTGAACAGTCAGTTTGAGTCTTAGAGATTGAAAACGAGGTGTTGATAAGGCCTTGGTAAATATATCAGCCACTTGATCCAACGTGTTAATGGGGAAGATCCGAATGTGGTTGTGCTGAATGTGATCCCGAACGAACCTTTGATCTATTTCGATATGCTTGGTTCTAGCATGAAAGACCGGGTTGTTTGCTAGAGCTATGGCGGAGACGTTGTCACAGAAAAGATCAGTCGGACGGTCTTGAGGTGCACCGAATTCAGTTAACAGTTTTCGGAGCCATATGACATCTGCGGCGGTTAATGCTGCTAGTGCCCGATATTCAGATTCGGTGGAGGAGCGAGCTACGGTGGTTTGCTTTTTGACGGTCCAAGAGATCAAGGTATTGCCCAAGAAGGAGCAGTAACCTGATGTTGATTTTCTGGAGATAGGATCTCCGGCCCAATCGGCATCTGAAAAGGAGGTGAGAAGTAAATTAGATTTTGTAATGGGTATACCGAAATGAAGTGTACCTTGTATGTAGCGAAGAAGTCTTTTGAGAAGGAATATATGCTGGGGTAATGGATTGTGCATGTGTTGCGAGAGAATGTTGACGCTGTACGCAATGTCTGGTCTCGTGAGAGTGAGGTACTGTAGCGAGCCAGTGAGGCGTCGATACAGTGATGAATCCGATAATAAGGGATCTGGACGAATGTCTTGAGGTAGCTTGGTACAGGTTGGGTTAGAAATTGGTTTGCATTGTGATAATTGAGCCATGTCGATGAGGGATTTGGCATACTGCGGTTGGGAGAGAAAGTACTGAGTGGATTGTCTCTCAATTTTGATGCCAAGGAACTGATGGGCTGTTCCGAGATGCTTGATTGAAAATCTGGAATGCAATTGAGCAAGTATATTATCAAGCATTGTTTTGTTATTACCGGTAAATAAAATGTCGTCTACGTAGATAAGTAGAAATAATTTGCAATCAGATTTGTTTAAGATAAAAAGAGAAGGATCAGAAATACTGTTCGCGAAGCCGAGAGAGATGAGATATGCTGTGAACGTGTTGTACCACTGTCGCGGAGCTTGCTTAAGTCCGTAAAGAGCCTTGTTGAGTCGACATACATGATTCGGATACGTGGGATCTATAAATCCTTTGGGTTGATTCATATACACCGTTTCCGTAAGAGTTCCATGTAGGAAAGCGTTGTCGACGTCTAGTTGGTGAACCTGCCAATCATAATGTAATGCAATTGTAAGCAGAATACGAATTGTCGGTAATTTAGCCACAGGGCTAAATGTTTCGTTATAGTCAAGACCGAATTCTTGATGATTCCCAAGAGCTACCAATCGAGCTTTGTATTTAGCAATGGATCCGTCTGCGAGATGTTTCGTGCGATATGTCCATTTACACCCGAGAACGGAGGACTTGGGCGGAGAAACAAGAGTCCAAGTGCCTTGCCGTTGTAGAGCAAGAAATTCGTCCGACATTGCCTGACGCCAGTGAGCATGTTTAACGGCCTCTGAGTACGAGGTCGGATCCTTGGGCTGCTGTTGAGAAGTTTGTTCGTGAACCAGGTTAAGTCTTGTGATTGGTTTCAAAGAACCTGTCTGACGTCTGGTGACCATGGGGTGACGGTTGAATTGCGGCATTGCAGGTGGAGAATGGGTAGGCGCAGGACTGAGGTGATGATGCAAGGGCTGCTGGGGTATAGAGCTGTTTGCAGAGGTTGATACAGGAAGAACTGGTTTTGTTAGGTGACTGGTGTGATTAGGCGGTTGGGTGTAGTTAGAGATAGTGGAGGTCGGGAGCAGTAAGTGAGGAGAGATGAGCGTAGAGGTGGATGAAGCAGGTGTAGTGCTGTTAGCAAACGGAAATAATTGTTCGTTAAACGTGAGGTGCCGAGAGATCAGAATTTTATGTGTGTTTGTGTCTAGGCATTTGTATCCCTTGTAGGTATCGGAGTACCCAAGGAATACATAGGATGTAGTCTTTGGTTGAAGTTTATGCCGCGAATGAGGAGGTAGCAGAGGATAACAGGCGCAGCCAAAAGTTCGAAGGTGATTGTAATTGGGTGGTGTTTGGTGGAGGAGTTCAAACGGGGAGATGTTGTTCGTGTTTGGTGAAGGCATACGATTTATTAAGTAGACCGCCGTTAGTGTTGCCTCCGGCCAATGTTTGTAGGGAATGCTGGCAGTGTGAAGAAGGGAGCGGGTGGTTTCAATTATGTGACGGTGTTTCCTTTCCGCAACTCCGTTCTGCTCAGGAGTATACGGACAGGATATCTGGTGGGAAATGCCATGCTTCTTTAGAAAGTCGGTGAATGTGCGGCTAAGGTATTCGCCGCCCCATCCGTGCGTAGACATTTAATTTTGTGAGACGTATAGTTCTCAATCTGATTTTTGAAATTAAAAAACATAGTAGCCATGTCAGATTTAAATCGTAATGGAAAAATCCAGGTAAATCTGGTAAAGTCATCAACAAAGATTACATAATACTGAAAACCTTGTATGGAGGTGACCGGTGCCGGTCCCCAAATGTCAGAGTGCAAAAGTTGTAGCATACAATTTGTACGAGAAACAGAACGTTCAAAAGACAACTTGTGTGCTTTAGAGACAGTACAAGACAGACAATCTTTCTTATTAATGTCTATATGTAAATGTGGTTGAGAAACAGAAATTGAATGTAAAATGCTATAGTTGGGGTGACCCAAACGGTTGTGCCAGGAAAAAGATGACGAGGCAACGGCCGAGTACGCGTGCGGAGATGCGCTGTTGGTGGTAGCCTGAATGGGGTATAAGCCATTTCTACATGGTCCGCGAAGCAAGACTTCTTGCGTCGTCGGATCCTTCAAAGAAAAACCATTAGAATCAAAGCTAATACAGATGTTATTATCTTTTGTAAGCTGCGAAATTGATAGTAAATTGTAATGAAGATTTGGAGTATGTAAAATTTTGGAGAGGTTGAGCTTACGATTCGGCGTGGGTAGCAAACCTGAGCCAGAATTGGCTATATTGACGGAGCTGCCATCGCCGATGGTAATTGTATCTTGGCCATGGTAGGGGTTGGACACTGAGAGGTTTTCAAGAGAGTTGGTTAGGTGAGCCGATGCACCTGAATCAAGAAACCAGTCGGATGAGACTCTTGAATTTCCGGCAGCTAATGCAGTGTTGTTAGCGGCAGAGGACTGTGGAACATATTGTGGGTTGAGGCGATGCCAGCATGAAGAGGCACCGTGACCTTTCTTTAAACAAATCTGACAAA